CTCTATCCACTCTGGCACCTAGCTGCCCTACAAAAAAAGATCAATCAGGGAGAATGATAGAAACAAGTCTACTCAGTCCCAGTTCGAATCGGAAATCCCACTGAGATCATCTGGCAATAGGAGTACCTTTTTTTTCCCCAACCAGTAAAATTTGGTGGGTTTTTATATGGTTCTCATCTGGGTCTAGGCATTGGGAGAAAAGCAAAGAACCTAGACCTAAGGATTGGTGGTGATTATGTTAGTAGAGAGAGGAAAGATTCCAGGGAAATTAATGGCTACTTTATATCCAGCCTCCTCAATATCTTGGGAAAAAGGTGGTTTTACTCTGGTCTTATTCTGCTACAATGACAGCTTCCTTGTTAGAAATTCCTGAGCTTCCCCATCATTTAGTGGATCAATGAAGCTTACTACATTTCTTATAAATCTCTTAACCTCTATCAGCCTCAGTTTCTTCATCTATAAAAATGGTATAATCACATATGAAATAGTTTACAGAATTGTTCTGAGGGTCAATGAGCACTAAGTGGCTAAATGACTTATCCATAGTCAAAGTTAATATGTGTGTCAGTGGAGAACTTAACTATGTCTCCCTTTATGTAAGGCTGGCCCTCTAACCTCTAACCCAGTTGCTTCTCCTAGGAACAGCTCCTAGGTTTTAACGTCTCTTCTAGATCTATCTCTACAGTTATCTTTTCCTTTTCCTCAGTGAGGGAGAGGTAGAAGAGAGAGGAAATAGATTTTTCTTAATTGAAAAACATTAATTTAATTTTAAAGTTTTAAATAGGCAACAGGTTGGCATCATTCAATAAAGATTTTTAAGAGGAAAAGGTTTAATGAGACCAACTATATGACATCTAGAAAAAAGCATATAGTCAAGTGAAGATTTTTTTCCCCAAGATAGAGAACTAAGAGTCCATCTTTAAAACCATAATAGGAGAGATAATGTTCTGGGGAATGAAGGTATCCAGGCTTCAGGGATTGAATTTAGAATTTGCCAACAATCTGGTTTGTGGTGCATGCAACAGGCCTAAAAAGACTGTGTGGTCTGTGGTCTCTTCTTGGTTGAATTGGATAGGGCTCTTCTGGGGAGTTATTTTTTTTTCCTTGGTATTCTTCAAGGAAAGCACAACTTTCTATCTCCCACCAAGCTCTGCTCTATGTTTGATTGCTTCCTGCTAGAAGTCTGCTACTTGTGTTTCCTAGTTGTAAATGTTGCTATTCCAGGACTTTACTTTCAATTTTGTTTCAAAATGTTCCTGATGCATCCTGCCTGTGCCCCACTTTGAGCATCAACTCCCTTTGCTGACCGTGCTGCTTTTGTCTTCTGGTATGACCCCATGTCTCCTGTCATCAGTACTCTAGGGAACATATCTTCACCATCTGTTGAAAGGAGAGAGTCATTGTTTGTCCATTAAGGGGACATTTTTATGCTGTCAGGTTGTCACCTGGGAGGTAGGGGGGAAAACCTCTAATACCATCACTCAAGGCAATTCAATTCCACAAATATTTATCATACACCTACTGTGTGCAAAGGGCAAAGTGCTAGGTACTGAAGAAGTTGGAAGTTTGGATAAGATATGGTCTCTGCCCTCATGGAGTTTTCACTGTATTAGGAGAGTTAAAGTTACATTCATTGCTAACTATTGTACACAGTTACATATAATTGATTTGTTGTTATTATTGTTATTCAGTTGTGTCTGACTTCACTACGCTTGTTAGGGTAATTTTCTCATGGGAGTTCTAGCTTCTTTCAGCAGAAGCTGAGGGTCACAACCTGTTGCGTGGCAAAAAAACAAGGAAGTCTCACAAGACCTCTCCTTTGCTGACACGCAGCTCCCACAGTTGGCTCAGCTCTCCTCTCATTGGGAGAAAAGTCCTACTCATACCCCTGACACGAGGGCTGCAGGTGTCCAGCAGACTTGGTGATTGGCTATCACGTGGAGATCATGCTTTGATCAGGTGTTACTAGGGATATAAAAGAAAGCTACTAGCACTTAATAAACGGAGCTTCTGCCATCTCGCTGTCTCCCGCCTCTTCAATGTGCCTCCCGGTTAAGAGTATTGAGCTGGTCTCATGCTCACTACTACAGCAGCTGCGTCATACCCCATTGGGGTTTTCTGGGCAAAGATACTGAAGTGGTTTGCCATTTCTTTCTCCAGCTCATTTTACAGATGAGGAAACTGAGGCAAACTGAAGGTTAAGTGACTTGCCCAGGATCACATAGCTAGTAAATATCTGAATCTGGATTTGAATTCAAGAAGATGAGTCTTCCTGACTCCAGGCCTAGCACTCTATCCTCTGTGCCACCTACCTGCCCAATAAGTGATTTAGAGAGGAACGAAACAACATACTATACAACATCCAAGGGGGAGAAAATTTCAAAGCATAGGATAGAACATTTATCTTCATAGCAATTTTCTTCAGGAATAGTCTTACTTTCAAATTTCTTATAGGTGCAGTAGTCTCTGAAGAATTCAAGCAAAAAAAGAAGTGGAAATTAAAGTCTTTCCAGTCTCCAAGAGTATGTTATTGGCACCTGCCATCTACTTATGTCATTTTAAAAATTCTAGTTATTTGTGTATGAGTACATCTCCATCCTGACTAGACTGTAAGCTCCGTGAGAGAAGGAACTTGTGTCTTCTTTAATCGCTGTATTTCCCCCAGGCCTACCACCAGCTCTTCAGGTGGTGAGAGTGTAATGAAGGGTTGTTGAAGCTGCTTAAAAATAAAGATCTTGAAGAAAGTGGAATTTTTTATAATTGTAGGACAGAAAAGGTTGACTTTGACAATAAGTCTATATTCTGATGAAAAGTTCAGAATTTAAGAACAAATTCTCAGCTGGAGTGGTTTTACCTCTAAAAATAAACATTTGAAGGGTTGTGTGGCTCAGGAAAACAATCAAAATGTCTCCTGTGCCTTTAGAATCCTGAACTTCTTTCAAATCTCACTTCAGGTGACACCTCCAATTCAAAGCCTTTCTGAGTCCCTCCAGGTGCTAGGTCCCCCCACCCCCACACAACACATTATTTTGTATTTACTATTTACAAACCTATATTTTGTATTTATCTGTATACATGTTTCCTCCCAGCATCAATCGACAAGTGGGCACTAATTGCCCACTTTGTTCCAGGAACAAAAGGCAAAAAAACCAGAACAGTCCAGGTCTTCTGGGAGCTTACATTCTATTGGAGGAAACAAAATACTTCATGGAAAGAGCTTGAGATTCCCTTGGTATGGAGGTCACATAGTTCCAGAGGCTGGACTTGAACTCAGGTCATATTAACTGTGAGATCAACTCTCTACTTACTGTATCAGATTATCTTGATGCTTGCTAGCTCTGTGACTCTAGACAAGTCATTTCACCCTGTTTGCCCCAGTTTCTTCATCTGTAAAATGAGCTGCAGAAGGAAATAGCAAGCTATTCCAGGATCTTGGGGTCCTGAAGAGTTGGAAACGACTGAACAACAACAATCACTGAGTAGTCCTGGGGCTCTAAACAAAAAGAAAAATGACTGCAAAAATAGTTTGTAAATCTAGATTGAAAGATAATAGTTCTAGATGGGCAAGCCTCTGTGAATCGGACTGGGAACTAGCTGTAAAGCAGGGACAGAGAAGCAGAGAAAACTCCTGAAGCCTGAATAATGCATAGGTTTGTGAAGATCACGTAAGCCTACTTTAAACAATGTAGTGTGGACCAGGCTTAAAATGGGTGGGAACATTTTCTCCTCATTATTTCCATAATAAACAGTTTGAGGTGCGGTGTTTTTGTGTGTTTTCTTTTGTACACCAATTCACAGTTGGAATAGGGCCAGCATAGACCTATTCTTATGAAACCTGGCCTGGTAACTTTATTAGCCTAAGGCTGCAGGAACCTGGGTTTCTTTCTTTCTTTCAACCTGAAAGACAGCCAGCCAACAACCTGTTACCGTCATATGCCCTTCCTCACCACTGGCAAGCAGTGATTCTGCGGTTCTGTCTCAAAGAATGCCACCTTCCAAATTACTAGATCTACTCAGCCAGCTCTTACAGAAAGCAGTGACTCAAACTGCAACGGGTCTCCGCCCTAATTCCGAGATCCCCTCCTCTCTTTTCTACTCCTTCCCTTCCCTCCGGTTCTGTTGTGACCTTGAAAAAATATGCCAGAATTTAGGTTGGCAGGAAGTTGTGATTTCAGACCTGGTATCTGATAAAGGCTTCCACATATTGTAGCTTTCTCAATAGCTAAACCACATTTCAAAGAGCCATCTCTGTCAGAATTTTCCTAAATGTCCTTGGCGTTTTGGATGCCCACGTGTTGGTACCCTCCAGTAAGCACTCCTTTAGTTAAATTGTGCAGAGGCGCGGATGGATGTGTACAAATGCCAGTAAGATTTGCCAGGGCAAGTAACATTTCTGATTGCACAAGAAATTGGATGATCCCATAGCCTTCCCAAATTTGTTCAATGATAGGCAGTTTGCAAAGTCAAATGCTAGGGGAAGGGAGGGAACTCTAAAAATGTCTTGCCTTTGCATAGAAGCAGAACTAGCTGGGAATTCAATTCTAGCAGAATTCCACCCAGCTCCATCGAGTGGGTGTACTGGGTGGTTTCTTTTTTCGTAAGGAAGCTTTTCAGGAGGGGCGCTGGTCCATTCGGGGAAGAGGGGGTGGCTGCGGGAGAGACTTCCCTGGCACCAGAAGCCCCTGCTTGAGTCACAAAGCCTCCGATCCTTGGAAAATGGACGAGATCAGTTAGGTGCTTAATAGAAAGGTCCGAGGCTTGCGCCCGGAGACTAGATGCCAGGCAAGCGCGTGCGGGGCCGCGCGCTCCCAAACCTCAGAAGCTGGAGGCTCGGGGGCAGGAAGGGGCCAGGCGGGGGTGGGGTGGGAGGGTTCTGGGGAGGGGGCGGGCCCAGGGGCGGGACTCGCCGCGGCGGCGCTGGTCCGCTCCTGCAGCGTTTTAATCCCCTCAAGCAAGCCGCGGAACAGAGTGCAGTTTTCTTTACATGGCCCCGACGGGAGGAACGCAAGCTGGGGTGGCTGCCCCCCGGCGTGTGCTCTCACTGAGCCTCGAGTCCTAGGTGTGGGCTCCTCTCCAACCTTATCTCCCGTTTCCCTCCGACCGCTTTTCCCGAGAAGATATGACCGAGTAGCTCCCCGCGCAAGGGCGGCATTTGCTTGGGATTTTCTTCATGGAAGCGATGTCCCCCCAGCAGGAGACTCTGGGGGGGCAGCCAGGGCGCTCCTCTTCTCTGACTGGGGAGTCCAGGATCGTGGGTGACACGGAGAGCAAAAAGGTGAGGACCTTGACCCATAGCCTCCTTCTGCCCTGTGCACCTTCTCCGAGCCCGGAACGAAAAGCGCCCGGGACTTTTTATCGATAAGGATGAAGACCCCAGGCTTCCGACATGAGGAGACATCTGTCTCCTGTTCTCTGTCTCTAGCTGCTCCTTGGTCCAAGCCCATTTTCTTTTTATCGTGGTATCACCTCCTTTCCCCCTTGCATCCTTTAGCAAAGATCCCCACTCTTTACCCCCCCCCCCATATTCCAGGTCCCTTTTCTCATTTTAGCCCACAGCTCCTCTTGCGATCCCCACCTCCCTCCTCCATCCGCTGTTCGGATCAGAGTTCCAGCTCCGATCCCTATATTCAGGGGTATAAGCTCCTGAGATTGGAGTGCGGGGAGGTGTCATTTTTCTCAAGGACCCCCCTCTCCCATTTGCCTGTGAGACTCCATACTCCCTGGGGGTCATCCTTCCAAGAGCACGACTCTTTAATTGTGGTCGGCTCGGAGGTTAGCCTGTCTACTAATCTGCTTCTTCGCAGCTCCCCGCCCTCCTCTCCGGCTAAACAATGCGTTTCTACCCAAAACTGCTGCTTGAGCTAAAGAGACTTGGCTTTGGTATTTGATCCCGTCTCCATTTCTTCACCTCTGCAATATGTTGTTATTAGCTTCCACCACCTCCCTCCGTCCCCTATACCCCGGGTTCGGTGCAGTACTGAGCTATGTGGTGTCTCAACTGGGAAGTGGGGTCGGTGGGCTGGGTATATTGCTTTGAGTAACCCTGTGGCCGCACCAACCGAGGTTTGGTGGAGGAGTCAAAGTTGTTTTTTGGTGTTCAGTTGAGTGTTTTAGATGACCGGAGGGCAGAATTGGAGCCAGACCTCTTAATTGAAGGTGGCTTCCACTGCCCTTCACCTTAACCTCTCCAGTCTCCAGCCCCTAGCCCCTCTGCCGAGAAGGTTTTAGTTTGGTGGAGATGCTTCCTCCTGCTGGTCTGGTCTGGGGAGAGAGGCGCGTGAGTGCCAGGGCCGGGGGGCAACGTGAGTGTCAATGCTGATGCCGGAGAACGGGAGGAGAAGCGTTGAACAAATTGTAGCTTTTCATTTCGATAAACACAGTTACGGTGCAGCCGAATCAGTTCTGATCTGTCATATTCACTTGGAACCGTTCCCAAAGCAAGTGCATTTTAGCCCGACTTGCTTAGCTAGACTTTCTAGGAGACTGATTATTGAGTTCTTAGCAGCTCCTGCTTTTCAAACGTACAGAACCATCCCGTTGCTTGGACATTCTACTTTTAAACGTAGAGGTACCAATCCAGCTTCCCTGGGTACCAGTCGAGGTAATGATAATTTTAATAACCATAACTTGCAGTGATAGTTAATAATATTCACATTGACATAGCGTTTTAAGTGCTAGATGTGAGAAGCCATCTCCATCCTTGAAGAATTGTATGAATACCACTAGCTCCTAAGGGAATTATGCAGACAACCCTGCCGGTCCAAATCTTGCTGCCCTTCATAAATCTTCCCGACCAGGTTCGCATAGGTTGGCAGGAGAGCTCCTTAGTAAAAGGGTGAATTACTTTGCTTTCTTGACTGGTTGCAGAGGTGATCTGTGACCCCTTCTCTAACCATTGGAATAAGAGGACTGTGATGCAAAGGCACTTGCTAAGCCCCTTAAGGACTGGCTGTCTGGATTCCGGGAGACTATAAGGCTGGGACTGTGTGACTGCAGTCAAAGACTTTGGCTCAAAGTCAAAGAGCATTTCATGAAGATGAGGATGTATCTCCTGTAATGCTGGTTCGTCCCTGGCGGTGAGGGCTTCTGTGTGCTTTTTGTTTGGGGGCAGGGGGAGGGGAGGTGCTAATATGTGATTTGAATGTCTTGGTCTTCCCAAAAGGAAAGCCCCCAGCTTTAGTGTAGTGTCAAGAACACAGAAATTGGTGGCCGAGGACCTGAGTCGAGTTTCCTAGGTCTATTATCCAACTTCCTGACCTTGGGCTAATTATTTCATCCTTCTAGACCTAAGTTTCCTCATCTTTGAAATGAGGGGGTGGGACTTCAAGGTCCAGGACTACTGCCAATGTCCATTCCAGCTCTAAATCCTACTATTATATGAAATAATAAACAACAGACTTTCATCAAGTGGGTCTTGGGAATAACTTTGCCAAATGTAGAGTTGGCTAGTCATTTGTTAATTGGGTGTCTCAGTTCAGGAAATAAGATAATAAGAAATTCTGGCGGCAGCATAGTACTGTGTAGTCAGCATTGTCTGGATTGAGAGGACCAGGATTCAGATACCACTTCTAATGCTTATTACCTGTGTGACCTTGGGAAAGTCACACCTGGTTAACTTCCCTGGCTTCCTCATCTATAAAATGAGGCAGATGAACAAGATGAGCTCTCAAGTTCCTTCCAGCTCCATCTCCACCATCCTGTATTTGATTGTTTTTCCTTCTGCCATAATGGATTACTGAGTGTTGAGTGTGCATGGAACAGACCTTTAAAGACCATCTTTATAATTTGTCAAATGAAGGAAAGTCCCCCTTTACCTTCTTCCATATTCTTGCCTTTTTCCTTAAGGCAGTGTTGACCCTGCTTCCTTTACAAACCTTTAATGCGCTGCTATGTACCAGAACTCTTACTTGCTTTTCACTCACACCTCTCTCTTTTTTTTTCTAATCTTGGTTTAAAAGGAAGTAATTTTGAATGACCAGACCATTTCTGATCATAACACACTTGCTTGTGCTAAATTTGTTTGTAAAAGAGAACTGTTTTAATTCAAGTTGGTTGTGTCTGAATAGTTCTAGACTCTTTGATGAATAATGGTAAGAATGATCATTTGGATATTTCTGAATGTTGAAATCTTAGCTATTGAGGGCTGGAAAAGGGATGGTAAAGACAGGTATCATAGAATAATACTGAACTGGGATTTGGAAGTCTGAGTCCGTTGCTTGCCACTGGCTAGATGTATTACCTTAGGTAGGTCACTAACCTTTGGACTTGAGTTTCTTCATCTCTAAAATGAAGGTTTTGAATTAGATTATTTCTGAAGTTATGTATTTCAGAGTCTAAATCAAATCATCTAGCACAATCTTCAGAACCTCAGCATGGTCAGTAGATGTGACGTTGGGAGCCGTTGAGAATAGTGACACGGGTAGATCTCATATGAAAAGTCCACAGTGTTTTTAGGCAATGACTGTTATTGGAATAGTACAGTGCCTGTCGCAAGGACAATAGTAGAACCAGAATTTGAACCCAGTTACTCTGACAACAACCTTAGCTCTTCTTTTTGGGGCCATAGAGCCTCTCTCAGTTCTAATATGTTTGTTTACAAAAGAAAAGGTCATCTCAATATATTTTAGTTATACCTTATATGATGGTAACAATAGCTAGCATTTATATAGGATGTTAAGGTTTGAAAATCACTTGACATATATACTTCACATGTATTACACATGTGTAATACATCATTTTAGGGCAACTAGATGGTTTAGTGGGTAGAATGCTGGGCAGGAAGACCTGAGTTCAAATCCAGTCCCAGGCACTTGCTAGTTGTGTGACCCTGGGCATGTCACTTAACCTTTGTTTGCCTTAATCCACTGTAGAAAGAAATGGCAAACCACTCCAGTGTCTTTTCCAAGAAAACACCATGTCCACAGGGTCATGAAGAGTTGGACACAACCGAACGACGACAATACATCTTATTGCATATTATTTAATTTGATCTTCTCAACAACCCTGTGAATTAGATGTTATTATTATCCCCATCTTACAGATGAGAAAACTGAACTTTTCCCAGGGTTACAAAGCTAGTGTTTGAGTAAGGTTTTGAACTCTGGCCTAACTGACTGCAAGTCCAACATTCTATCCATTGTACTACCTAGCCGTTTATGTCACACCCAGTGACTTGCAAGGAAACATGAGATTTGGAGTCAGTCAGAAGATTTGGGTTTGAATCCCAACTCCGTCACTAGCTTTGTGCCCTTGGGCTGATGACTTAGTCTATCTGGGCTTCATGGACCTAATCTTGAAAACAACATAAGAATACCTGCAAGTATCTGCCTTCCTTGTAGGTTTGTTGTGAGGAAAATGCTTTGTAAGCCTTAGTTGTTGAGAGTACCTAGGGAAGTTCCCAAGTCTGGACTCTTCAGTTATGCTCTGAGATTACATGGAGAAGCCAATTGAAACCAATTCCTTCTGAGAAGGCTTTGTGTTCAACACTAAAACAATCTGAATCCTGACCTGTTAGTGTTGATTGAAAGCTACTCATTTTTCTTTTCTTTTCTTTTTTTTTCCAAAGGAGATGGGGGAACACAGCCAAGCCAAAATGATGCTAAAATAGCTCTAACATTTTGAAAACTGAATAAATCTACTAGCAGCAAAAGGAGTCTAAATGTAGCAGCTGCAATTGCACCCTTTATTTCTGATTTTTCTGCCCACGCTTTCCAAATCAAAATATGTCTGGAGGCATGTACTGCTGGAACTCCCCTAGATCTAGGTTTGACCTTGTGAGCCTCTTTTTGCATGGCATGGACAATCTAGGAAGGTTAGAGGAGAATGTGTTATTCACTCATGACTCTGAGAAAGGCTATGCTTATGGCTTTGATGGAACTATATCAAAGAATGTAAATAAACCACTTAGGCTGCTGTCTCCTTGCATGACTATAGGCAAATTACTTGCTTCCTCAACTGTAAAATGGAGATAATTATAGCATGTACCTCCCTGGCTGTTGTGAGGACAAATGAGATAATATAAGCATCTAGCACATAGTAGGTAATTTTAAGGACATCTTATATTTATCTTGCCTAGACTGCATGAGTGAACACACTACCTTGACCATTCTTTACCCTGAAGGCAGTGAGCACTGTTCTCTAGAAGGCTCTCCCAGGGATAATGGAAGAAGAATTAAACAAGTTGTAGTTTTTTATTTGAACAGTTGGGTTGCAGCCAGATCTGTTATTCTATTAGAAGGGCAGCTTAACCATCTCCACAGAGTAAGTTTGACTAGC